TCCCCGACAGCGCGGGGACAGCCACAGCCTACCTCTGCGGCGTGAAGGGCAACTACCAGACGGTGGGGCTGAGCGCAGCCGCCCGCTTCTCGCAGTGCAACACCACGGCAGGCAACGAAGTCATCTCAGTGCTGGAGCGAGCCCGCAAAGCTGGTAACGGGGGGCACGGGGCAGCGGGACTGGGGGGGACCCTGCGGGGACAAGGGGCATCAAGCCAGGGGCTGCCCCCTCCACGAGCATCCCAGGGCTCAATGGTGGGGGACCCCGTGCCCCCGCCGGTCGTCTTTCGTGGGGCCTGACGGGTGGGGGGGCGACAGGGAAGGCAGTGGGCATCGTGACGACAACACGGGTGCAGCACGCATCGCCCTCGGGGACCTACGCCCACGTTGTGAACCGCAACTGGTACGCGGATGCCAGCATGCCCACAGAAGCCGAACTCCAGGGCTGCAAGGACATCGCCTGGCAGCTGGTCCACAACGTCGACATCAATGTGAGCACCCGTGCATGGTGGAGGGGGGAAGCAAGGGCAGACCCCCCTGGGCACCCCCGCTAACGCTGCACCTGTCTCATCCCCACCAGGTGATCTTGGGGGGTGGTCGGAAATACATGACCCCCGTGGGGACACCAGACCCCGAGTATCCCACCTACACCACAGAGAATGGGATACGCAAGGATAGGAAAAACCTCATCAACCTGTGGCTGGAGGCACGGCCGGTGCGTGACACAACAGGGACAGTCCTCTGCCCACCGCCGCCGGGCACGGGGCCGGGAACCCGCTAACCCCCTGTGGGATTTGCCCGCAGGGCGCCCGCTATGTCTGGAACAGGACGGAGATGCTGGCTGCCGCTGCTGACCCCAGCGTGAATTATTTGATGGGTAACAAATGTCCTATGCGCCAGGACCTGGCAGCCACCGGGATGTGTGCAGGCACTGAGGCTGTCCCCAATGCGTCCCCTCCCAGGTCTCTTTGAACCGGCGGACATGAAGTACAACCTGCTGCGTAACACCACCACGGACCCATCGCTCACCGAGATGACGGAGGCGGCCATCACCATCCTGAGCAAGAACCCCAACGGCTTCTACCTCTTTGTGGAAGATAAGTCGGGGCTGGTGCCCCTGGGACGGGCGAGAGGGGGGTCCCACATTCTGGGGTGGGGCTAAGAGTTGGGGGTGCTGCCGTCGATCCCCAGCCCACCATGGGTGCCCATCTGCAGGCGGCAGAATCGACCACGGCCACCATGACGGTGCAGCCCATAAGGCGCTGACGGAGGCGGTGGAATTCGACCAGGCCATCGAGCGGGCAGGCGTGCTGACAGACGAGGCACAGACCCTCACTGTCGTCACCGCTGACCACTCGCACGTCTTCTCCTTTGGCGGCTACACCCTGCGCGGCTCCTCCATCTTCGGTAGGGCTCTGCCTGGTCACCAAGAGTGGGGCATGGCCCCGTGCTGGGCGCTGCCGGCTCCGGGGCACCCGGGCTGTGGCCGGAGGGGTGATACAGGGGTTTCTTGACTGATCCCCCCCCTCCATCGCCTCTTCCGCAGGTCTGGCCCCCAGCAAAGCCGCTGACGGCAAGACCTACACATCCATCCTCTATGGGAACGGGCCGGGTTACCCGGCCACCAGCCGGCCCAATGTGGACAATCACACAGCCGGTGAGGGCACAGGGACCATGGCCAGGTGGTGGGATGGGGCTGGGGGCCACCACTCACCCTCTCACCCCCTTCTCCCCCCTCCCCAGAGCAGTACGACTACTTGCAGCAGGCAGCCGTGCCCCTCCCTTCGGAGACCCATGGCGGCGAGGACGTGGCCATCCTGGCCAAGGGCCCCATGGCCCACCTCTTCCACGGGGTGCAGGAGCAGACCTACGTGGCCCACGCCATGGCCTACGCTGCCTGCCTTGAGCCCTACACCGCCTGCCACCAGCGGGGCTCTGCCCCCAGTGCCCGCGCCACCCCCCTGGCCCTGCTCCTGCCCACTCTCCTCCTGCCCCTCTTCCACTGACCCCACAGCCCCAGGGCACCCCACGGGTGCTGCCAGACCTGCGTCCCCCTTCCTATGGCTGCGGCACCCATAGGCGCTGCCAGACCTGCGTCCCCCCCTTCCTATGGCTGCGGCACCCATAGGTGGCCGGTAGCTCTTTGGAGCATCCTTGGTCCGGATGCGGCAGCCGTGGGGCACCGAACCCCAGGCACAGAGGGGCCCTACACCACCCACGCAGGGTGCTCGGTGGTTAATAAACGTGGGGTGTGACGCTGGTGGCACAGGCATCTTAGCGGTGTGTGGGTTTCTGTGCCCTGCAGGCAGGGCTGGGGGTGCTGCCCGCTGCTGCCCGTCCCCCGGCCCCAGCCCCTTGCACTGACCCGGCATATCCAGCACTTTATTGACCAGAAACAGCAGCAAAAAATACAGCAGGCATCTGTGTCCCCACGCTCCTGGGGCAGGCTGGCATCACCTGGCCCTGAGCCCTGCCGGCTGTGCCCACCTGCTGGCAGGGCTGATGTGGGGACAGGATGGGGCTGGCATGGGGGTGCCAGGGAGGGCACTGGGTGTGGGGGGGGTTGGCGTGGGGCAGCCCCACGGTGGCTCTGGTTCACTCTCCCTGCCCTGACCAGCACTGAGCTGGATGTGGTAGGGCTGGGTGAAGGCTTTGGGGTGGGTGGACAGAAGAGGGAGTACACAGGTGCCTGGGGGGTGCCCTGCATTGCCTCATTCCTCCATGGGGACTCAGGGCCCCCGCAATTCGCAGGGCAGGGGGTAGTAAGGGGATGGGCAGGAGGCAGCTGCCTCTGGGCTGGAGCTCATGCCCACCCCGAGTGTCTCCCCACTGCCTTCACCCCTCCAGTGGGTGCCTGTCTTTGGGGGAGTGACCTCCTGCATCACCTGGGGGTGCCCCCTTTGCCTGGAGAGCAGGAGGGGGAGACGGGAGGAGGTGGGGAGTGGGCACAGGGTGGCACTCGGGCAGAGATGGGGATGGCGGGTGCCAGCCTGCCGGGGGGGATCAGCCTCACCACACTGAGCACTTGTGCGCTGGGTTCATGGGCGAGTTCTTGGGGCAGTGGAAAACCCGTCCGAACTCCTCGAACTGCGAGACACTGCCCAGGACCCTGCCAGGAGAGGGGGGCAACTCAGAGCTGAGCACCCTCTGCCCCCCCCGCTGCTGCCATGCACCCTGCTTGGGGCACCCGCTCGCCCCAGCAGCACCCCATCCCCTGCTCCAGGGATGCCCACCCAGAGCCTTCTGGTGCCATGCTGGTGCCCACCCCAATTTGCATGGCACTGCCAGACATGGGGAAGCTGGCACCTGCCGTACCCCCCCATTTTGGGGCCAGCCGGTACCTGTAGTGCTCTGGGGCATGCTTGTCTGTCAGCACCTGCAGGTAGATGGACTGGGATCGCCGCTTGATGCACCAGTTCTGTGGGGGAGAAAGGTTCCTATGGGTGAGCCAGATGGGGCACCCCGGGTCCCAGCACCCACCGGTGGGCACCAGGTCCGGCATGGCTCTTGCCCCATCCCTCGGGGCCACCGGCTCCACACTCGGTGACCCCCCCCGCCCCGGTACATGCCACGTGTAGGGAGGGCAGGGGCTCACCTGGGCGAAGGCGATGAAGAAGAGCTGGTCGTGGGTGTATTTCAGGTGGTGCAGGGGGTGCTCGGGTCCGTGCTCCCGCACCCACTTCTGGTAGGCCTGGAGAATAAGGGGTGCCCTCAGCACAGCCTGGGTGCTCCCAAAACCTGCCCCAAGCCTCCCCCTAAAGCCCCCCAGCAACCAGCAAGCTGGATCAGGCCTGCTCCCTGCTGCAGGGAGCAAGGTGGGGCTGGGGGGTCTCCTGCCCCCCCACCCCCCCTTGGGATGGCATCAGCAGCTGCCCCATGGCCCCGCCGGGGGCGTGACACCCCAGGGTGGGGGGACACTTACGTAGTAGGCGAGTTTGAGCCCCCCCATGTCAGCGATGTTCTCCCCCAGCGTGTGTTTGCCATTCACCTGCCAAGAGAGACATGGAGTGAGCGGAGATGCCCCCCCCAGCCAGGCATCCCCCATCCCCACCCTGGCACCGAGGCTGTGCCTCAGTTTCCCCCACCCAGTGCCCTGAGGAATTTCCCAGCTGAGGTGTCCCCTGCCAAATGGAGTGAGCGGAGATGCCCCCCCCAGCCAGGCATCCCCCATCCCCTGGCACCGAGGCTGTGCCTCAGTTTCCCCCACCCAGTGCCCTGAGGAAGGAACCAGCTGAGGTGTGATGACTTGTCGGGTCTCAGGGCTGGGCAGGGCAGAGCCATGCTCTCTCATCGGTGAAGTTGTCGTAGAGGTTGACGATACACTGCGCCTTCTTCAGGAACTTGCTGTACGACCGCTCTGTCCACCAATGCACCAGGTTCCCGTGTCGGTCGTACTGTCCCCCTGCCAAGGCAACTGCTGCCACCAGTAGTCCCGAGGGACCCAGGCATCCTGCCCCCCACCCTGCCTGGCTGCACCCTGTCCACCCACCTCCCGCCCTGGCACGGGGTGTGGGGTCACTCACCCCAGTCATCGTAGCCGTGGGTCAGCTCGTGCCCGATGATGGTGCCGATCCCGCCATAGTTCAGAGACCTGTTGCAGGGGGAGCAGAGGTGAGAGAGTGGAGGGCACGGTGCTGGCAGGGATGGTGGTGACCCCAGGACCTGGCACCCCCATACCCTGCCCTGGCACCCCCCACCCATGCCCCAGCCCCACACTCACTGCGGGAACTCAGGGTCGTAGAGGGTAGGCTGCAGGATGCCAGCGGGGAACACTGGGGACACAGGAGAGCATTGCAATTGGGGGGCCACCCTGTCTCATGCCCACCTGCAGCATCACTTGGCACCAGGGGACCCTGCACCATGCCCCCCACCTCGGGGCCTCCCCACACCCCCTGCCCCTGGGGGGCTGAGCCCAGAGGGCCGGGCAATGCCTCACCCATCTGATTCTTGTTGGGCAGGTAGTAGGCGTTCAGCGCCTGGGGAGGCAGCAGCCACCTGCAAGGAGAGACAGCGGTGCCAGGCTGTGGGGGCACCGGGGGGCACAGAAATGCCACCCCCTTGGACAGCTGGGGTGTCAGGGGGGCATTCCTGGCTTGCCCTGTGCCCTCCTGCCTGCACCCCGTGGGGTGCAACCGGGCATGGGGACAGGGGGCATCGGTGGGGCCGTGCTGTGCCCCCCATGCCCCCCCCCCAGGGCAAGGGGATACCCACGCAGACTTGTCCACCTCCTGCCGGATCTTCTTCACTGAGAGCCTGATGCCGAAGGCAATGCTGTTGAGGATGTTCTTGAAGTAGGTCTTCTCGTCCACCTCAAACTGGGGGGACACGGCCATGTCAGGGGCATGCCAGCCCCAAGAGTGTGGGGAGCAGGGCTGGGTCATCCTCCCACCCCCATGAGCCTTGGGGACTGAGGGTGTGGGGTTGTGGCCGTGGGCTGGATGTGGCACGAGTGTGTCCTCATGTCCTGTTCTGTGTGCCCACGTGGGTGGCTGCATATCCGACACCTCCGTGGGGTCCCTGGGCCATGCAGGGTTAGGGGTACCCCCAACCCTTGCTGAGGATGGGGTTGAGCTCTGGGGGGTGCAATGTGGGGAAGGGGACATCATCTGAGACCCCAGGGACAGCATGGCACTGCCCGTGTGGCTGTGGCTGTGGCCGTGCCAGTGGTGGGCACAATGAGCTAGCAGGAGGTGGCTTGTTTTGGGGCAGCATCTCCCCATCCTGGTCTCTGCAGACCCTGAGGCAGATGCGGGGACCATCTCCCCCCTCCATGTGCCCACACCCCTGCATGGCCTTGGGCCACCCCTTGCCTCATACTCCTTGTCAATGGCCTCCGGCTTCAGCAGGAAGTCGGGGTACCCGATCATCACCATCATGTACCGGAGCTGCGGGCAAAGTGAGCAGCGGGGTCAGGCCCCCATCCCCCATGCCTCCAGGCCGTGGTGGAGGCAAGGGCAGGGGTCCACGCTGGGGGCCACAACCTTGGCCCTGGCCGCTCTCCGCGTCTCCTCGTCCATCCAGTCCAGCTCGTCCAGGCGCTGGTCCAGGATGTATTTGATGTCCTCCACTAGCTGCTGCACCTATGGTGGGTCACCGCAGGTGCTGGCACAGCATCCTCACCACCCATCACCCTGCCAGCCAGTCCTCAGGGAGGTGCCAGGTGGTGGCGGGCACCTCAGCAAGGGGACAGGAGGGACACGGTGGCTTCATGCCCACAGGCAGCATCATCTACCTTGGCTTTGCTGGTGGAGGAGAAGTGCTCCTCAACGAAGAGGGCGCCCAGGGCCATGCCGAAGTGCTTGTTGGCCTGGCTCAGGCAGATCTTGCCCAGCTCGAGCTGCTTCTCATTGCCCTCCATCTCCTTGGAAAGCTCGTGGATGGCGTCACGGAATGGGGTGGAGAGGTGCTCGCTCAGGACCACCACAATGCGCCACAGCATGTAGTTGTGAAGGATCCTGGTGATGGGGGACAGGATCAGGCCCCCCTGCTGGGCAAGTCCTCAGGCACACGGGGAGGGTGGGGAGCGTGCACCAGGGTGGGGACATCCCTGCTTGGAGACCAGGCAGGCCATGGGGGTGACCATGTCCTGTGGGGGCCCGGGGACGGGCTGGCACCGTGTCCCTCCCTGCTGTGTGATGAGTCTGGTGACCTCTAGCATGGGGGGGTCTCAGCAGGTGGCCGGGCACAACCAGGGTGCTGTGGGGCCCACGACAGTGCCCTTTCCCAGGGCCTTTCCCCGGAGTCCCCCTGCCCAGCCTGGCCTTCCCAGGATGGGGGTGATGGGGGGCACCAGCCACAGCCACCCTGTGCCCACCCCATTGCCAACCCCCTGCCAGGCTGGGGAAGGTGCCAGGGCACAGGTGGTGCCAGCCCCCCTCACCTGCTGGGCGTCACACGGATGAGGTCAGACACCTTGTGCATGTAGTCAGTGGCCAGCAGCACCACCTCCTCCTCCTCCGAGAAGTTGTCGTGGAAGATGCGGTCCAGCAAGCGCTTCCACTTGAACTGCCAGGGTGGGCACTGTCGGAGGGGCAAGGGACCCCCGCCCCTCCATGCCACCACGCAGGAAAGCCCCTCCAGGCTTTCCAGCCTCCCACCACCCCTTCCCACCCAGGAACGTGCAGGATGGATTCAAGTGGACTTATATGGGGGGGCAGCAAGGACATTTCTGGGGACACTGGCGTATTGTGCTGGGGCTTGTGCTGTCTTACACAGGGTGCAGGCTGGCCTGGGGGACACGGGATTGGCAGCAAGAGAGGACATGGAGCAGGGGGACAGGGGCAAGTGTGGGCCACAGGGCAGATGGGGGATATGGGGTGGCAGGCTGGGCACCAGGGGTACTCACTGTAGGGGTGATGCGCTGCAGCTCGCCCAGGGTCACTTTGTGGTACATGCTGCTGACGTCCCTCCGCACATCATCATACTCGGACACCGTGATCTGCATGGGGTGGGCATGGCTGTCACCATCCCACTGTCCGCCTTGGAGGTGGCACAGGGATGGGGCACAGGTCTGGGGCAAGCGGGGCTGCTGATCCACAACACTCCTGGCTTGCTGCCCTGGGAACCCTCTGCTGCCAGTGGGGCCCTGAAGGCTGGGCCTGGGAGTTGGGGCACCCAAGGGCTGGGCATAGTGGTCCCCCAGGGCTGAGCATGGGGTCCTCAAGGGATTGGAGTGGGTTCCCAAGGACTGGACATAGGGGTCCCCAAGGGCTGGAGTGGTTGTCCCAAGGGCTGGGACTGGGGTTTCCCAAGATGCTGGGGCTGGGGTCCCTGAGGATCTGCCACGGGGTCCTCAAGGGTCTGGGATCCTTGAGGGCCAGGCATGAAGGTCGCCAAGGTCTGGGCTGAGCATGGGGTCCTCAAGGGATTGGAGTGGGTTCCCAAGGACTGGACATAGGGGTCCCCAAGGGCTGGAGTGGTTGTCCCAAGGGCTGGGACTGGGGTTTCCCAAGATGCTGGGGCTGGGGTCCCTGAGGATCTGCCACGGGGTCCTCAAGGGTCTGGGATCCTTGAGGGCCAGGCATGAAGGTCGCCAAGGTCTGGGAGTGGAGGTTCCCAAGGGGATGGAGATGGGGTCCCTAAGGACTAGGCATGGAGGTCCCAAAAGATCTGGGACTGGGGTGCCCAAGGGCTGGGCAAGGGCACCCCAAAGCCCAGGGTAGGCATCCCCCTTACGTTGGCAAGATGCTGCTCCAGCTGCAGGATCTCCTGGGCCTTCTGCTCCACATGCTCAGCCCCCAGGAGGGTGAGCAGCCTCTCCATGAACACCCGGTACGCGGCCAGGATCTGTGTCAAGGGAAGGGACACTGAGTGCCACTCCACAGGCACCCCAGCCCCAGAACTGCCGACAGCAGGGTGCCCTCCCATCTGCCACCCATGCTGGGTGCTGGTTCCTCTCCTGGTGTCCTCATGCCTGCAGCATCGGTGGCCCCCCCTTCACCTTCTCGCTCTCCTCGTCCTGCCCCAGGTAGAGGGTCCGTTCGGGCAGCGTCAGCCCATCCTGGTCGATCTGGGGGGAGATGGGGGCAGTGGATGAGCAGAGGGAGGTGGGGGCTGTGCTGGGCAAGGCACACCCCCAGCCTGCCCTGGCAAGGCACCCCCTGCCTCCCCCCTATTGCAGGGTGCCCCAGCGCCCTGGGAGCTGTGGTGTGGCAGCACGGTGGGTCAGCCCTGGGCATGGGCAGGTCCTGTGCCTCAGTTTCCCTCCTGCCAGAGGTTGCCAGAGCTGCAGTGGGCAGCATGCAATGGGCTGGGAATGCTGGGCACAGGGCAGGCCCCTGCTCCATGGCCTGACTTGTGCGGCCCCACAGACTGCCCCATGGTGGCCCCACACCTGCCCCACAGCTGGCCCCACTCCTGTGCTGCAGCCTACCCCATGGGGAGCCGTGGGGATGAGCCACGGTGCATGGACACCCCCACCCTTCACACACACACACACACACACTCTGCTATCCTGTAGCCACAAGCACAGCCTCTAACACATACACACACCTGAACACACTTGCACATATATGTATATACACACATCTGTAACTCACCCCTCATGACACACACCTATGCACGCTCACCCCCTCCTCACACCCCTATGCATGCACCATCTAGTTTGCCCCTGCCCCTCCATGCACACACACATACACACTCCCCCCCTTTTCTCTCTGGCTCACTGCCCCCCCGCCCCGTGTCCCACCCCC